GTATATGTGTATGTATGTATGTATGTGTGTGTGTGTGTGTGTGTGTGTGTGTGTGTGTGTGTGTGTGTGTGTGTGTGCGCGCGCATGCTCGTGCGCACGTGTCCTCATATTAAAAGCAGTTCAAAACACGGACAGTTCTTCACGTCTTTCTAACATTATATTCCTTGCCACCAAAATACAAAGCAACACCTCTACAAAGAGGCACGTGTGAGATAATAAACGTTCGGGCCGCATTAAAACTAAACTTGGATGTCAAGTGACGGTCGCATAATGTCGTACTGTCAGCGTAAATTAGCCCGTGGGCCGCAAGTTGGACACCCCTGGGTTAAAATGTTAGACGTGCCTTACTATGAGCAAACTGCCGTGGTTCGAATCCCACTGATGGGTCACTGCAGTCGAAAAACCTGCACTAACTAACAGTCTTCTGGAAAAAACAATTACCTGAACAAATGGCAATCTTCCCTCCCCCACGTCACACCTCGTTGCGTTTTTCTTTAAAATTGTTATACCATATTATATAATAACACTTTGTAAGACAACCCCCTTTCTCCTCGACAATGGGTGGCCGTCGTTGATAATTTTGACCGCATAAATGTTAATATAAAACTTTTTCGCAAAAGTCTGAACATCTACTGTTTAAAAAGATATAATGTATAATATACAATTTTCTTTTTTTTTTTTTTTTTTTTACTCTTCACCAGGTGACCCAGTCGTGACGCATGAGTGGTCAAGTCGTGTGCTGCTACTAACTGACCATCGCCGAGGGCCGTGAAGTGGGGAGCTACAACAACTAAATTATTTAGAGGCCAGTGGTAAACTGACCAACAGTGTGACCAGTGTGTGGAGTGATGCTGTCTCTGGACGTGACAGCTGTGTCCGGTGGGCTAGCCGCACGAGCAGCGATCAACACAACACAGTACACTTCACAAAAGGCAAGTTCATCTTCTGGCTGGCTGCCCGGACATGATTTATGATTTTATTTTTTCTAGAATTATGCATCGCAAGTAATATAATTATAATATAGTATATGATATCTCTGTATGTGCCTACAGTTACTCAAAGACATTATATAATTTGATCAGTTCTTGCCAATCTGGGCGATATCACCCTCAAGTGATCGATTTGGTGGGCTATGGGGATCACCTTTTTAATTAAGGTCAGATAGGCCTATTATTTAATGCCCCATTTGGAAATACATGTAGGTGAGTGTACGAAAATATTAATCACTTGAATGTGGCAAAAGTTGGTGTTGGCTATGAAAAGTTTGATAATTATGTTTACTTGTCTGTGGTATCCATGGAATGTCCCTTTTAATAACATATAGGCCTACACTGAGAATATAAATACTTTATTCAGAGAATACTCTCTCTCCCTCCCTCCCCCCTTCTCTCTCTCTCTCTCTCTCT